TTATATCATCCTCTTTTATTCCTCCATTAGGTACCACCTACAATTTACATTTTGCATGCAGAACATATTTCTTACAGGATTACAGATCTAATGAGAAAGTGTATTGTTACTCGACATTGCATAAGCCTGTTCAAATTAGATCTGTCATTGTATAGGTACCTACCTAACCCTCTCCTAAACCCAGGCAGCAGACTGACGTCATTATGACATCTTATTTTCGTCATACAGGACGTCATTTATCCTCTGAAAACTAACGTGATAATGACGGTAAAATGACGTGAATATGTCACAGCCTAAATTACGTCATATTTAGACGCCCTTTTCACGTCTAAATATGACGTGTTTATGACGTTGTTTTAATGTCACCTTTGTCGTTATTCTTTATACTTATTTGAGACGTCACCATGACGTTACATTTAATATTGTTACTCCTTTGTAACTTTTCTATAGAAACTGTGGGTCACTTAATAAAACAAAATTAGAAAATGAAATAATAATTATAATTAAAAAGAAAAGTTAAAATACATGAAATTTTATCGGCAAACAACATTAATTTATATAAATCCAACTGCTCCAAATGTGGCCAAATTGTTCGTTATTATTTTGGTTTGGCACAATGATTTTTCCGAGTGCCGCCATTTTATACTATTTCACGAACCTGGAAACATTTTAGAAAACATCCTATATCCTATGAATGTAAAAGATATAAAATCATTAAAGAATAAGGATAATATAGATATAAAAATACCTTATGCTGGGTTGATACTGATATAACTTTTTTCACTGACCCTCTTTAACTTTTAACAACAATCCTGAATGCACACGGGCCACGATCCACACACCATTACATATGGCCAATGCAACAATCTGCGATACCGTTCTCGTGCTTTCTCGAACGGCTCGAACATACACGAGCCATACTCAACAGACCGATAACCATAGACAGACGCAGTCATGTGTCACGTGGTGTCATTAGTCTTTATGCATTTAAGCGCCAGATTTAAACGTTAATAGACCTCACAGTTTTAAAAAATAATTGATAGGCCCATATTATTTTACATAAATAAAATGTATTGAAATCACGTTAAATATAAACCTTAATTTATTAGTGACAATAAATTGACGTCACACTGACGTCTAATTTGTGACGTCAAAAAGACGTTAAAGAAGTGACGTCCTAATCACCTTATTTTTTGGTAACATGACGTCGATGACCAAGAATTACCAAAAAAATGTCGTCAAAATGTCGTCAGTCTGCTGCCTGGGAATTTAAATTATTTGCCTACATCTCTTTGTCCACAATTGCGGCGGTTGCAGAATTTCAGCGAATTATCGACCCATTTTCTAAATCAAGATGGATTTTCACTTTGTTTTAAAGAATGAAAAGTTAGGTACCTACCTACGTATAGGTAGGTATACCTATTAATAAATCTAAACAGAAACGAACATTTATTACTGCCCTCGTATATTGTACCTATAAAAAATGAGATAAAATATTATGCTATTTTATAATAGATATTCCTATCACCTATAACTATTTTTAGTTTACTTTCTAAAAATGTTTGGGTTTATCGTTTATCAGAACATGCGTTTATCAACCTAGACACCATGGCCATGAATTTTTAACACAACGCACTACCTAACAAAAAAGCAAATTAGGTACCTACCTACCTAATTAAAATTCAAAACGAATAACAAGTTTCAATAGCAACAATCTGAATAATTATATCGAAACCAGCTGCCTGATAGAAGCCGCAACCCGCAACTCCACTACTGATATTTATAGACAAGCCAAATCCTTAAAATAATTATTCTGAAGGTGATTTCAAAGTTAAAGAGACACTCAATAAAACATTCACGCAATGACGTTGGCAACAACATGGCGGCAACCAGCTGGAGGGAGGTCCCGCCTCCCGCCATCAATTTTCATTTTTGCCTCGAGCTTCAACCTTAGAACATATGAAACAAACGGAATAACACGCAATGCAACGTCGCTGGCTGAGCTAACGGTTAATCGATGATGCACGAACGGTTCCGACTGTTCCCCCTCATAATATCGTCTGCTTTTATTTTTGACACAGTTTCAAGTTGAACGTGGTGTTTGGGTTACGGAAAGTTTTCGTAGAACTGAGTTGAATTATTGCATAAATTAAGAATTTAAAATGATAGTTACTAGTGTTTGTAGACTGTGTATGTCGGAAAAAGAACTCCGTTGGGTTTTTGACGAAGGAATTACTGGTGAAAGTGATATGAAAACGATAATTTTCATTACTACGGGCGTAGAGGTATGTTGTTTTGCAACCGCTTGTTATCCGCCATTTTATGTAATAAATTGAAGGTCGTGACATACTTAAGTTTGTTTTAAAATAGGTACATGATGACTCAGATAATTTATTTATTAATAATGATATTTAAAATTTTTTAATGACATTTAATTAGTAATCAACATGATTTGAGTTTGTCAAAATTGCGTAATACGTTTTAATGTCAAAGAGCATGCGTACTAGATGGATACAATAATGCGCGCGCACAATGGTGATGATTTTACTAAAATATTCATAGTTTTATCGATTTCATAGTAATAAAATGCCGATTTAACTTATTCATCACTTGTGGCTCTTGAAAATAAGATTGCGCGTTTTATGGTATACGCAAAATGTTTTTTTGCTGTCATACCTAGTATATATTATTATAATATAATTACTCATTTTATTTATATTTAGAAAAATAACTTATTTAAAAAAATTCTGTTAATTCTAATTTGCGCAAAATACATTATTGTGCACAATTCTTGCGCAATTATTTCTTCGAGATAATATTGGTTTAAAGAAATTAGTTAAATATTTTGTGCAAATTGTTTTAATCTGACACTTTAAACTTTTTGCGCAATTTTTACGATTGTACAGCATGTTTTGGTACGTTTTTTGTTTCATTTCAATTTAAGAGATTGGTTTTTAATACTGATTTAAATAGTACTGCGCAACTTATTTATTTTTATAACAAAGTAAAAAGAAACTTGAATTGTAAAACTAGTTGCGCAAATATTTAACAAAATAAGTACTAATTAAATTGTTTTATTTGAAAATGATTTAGGAAATTTGATGAAATATTTTGCTCAATATAGTGTCAATTTTTTATTTTTTCATTGTCATTTTTAAGTTATTTAAGTTAAGATAGATAAATCTATCTTTTAAATTGCGTGTTTAATTATACGTTTGTAAATTTATTTTTATTTTTTTAGTTCATATTTGCGCAGTGCGCAAAATTAAGGGTATTTCATATTTAATGACGCTATACAATGTTAAAAAAGTTTTTTACATCAATTTATTTTTATAATTTTGCGCAATGCGCGAATATTTGTTATTTGTTTAAATTTAATTTTAAAGTAACTTCCTTTGAGTTGTTATATTAACCAAATTGCGCAATGCCAAATTAGAAATCGGTTAATCTCAAATTTAACATTTCAATACCATATGAATTAAATTTTATAATTTTGCTCAAATGCGCAAATTATAAATGTAATTGTATAATTTTGCGCAATGCGCAAATGTATATAATTTTATTTGTTTTAATTTAATTTTAGCTGATACACTTTTCTTGTCTAATTTATAAGTTATATTTATCAAATAAATTGCGCGATGCGGAATGTTAATTTTATATTAGTTGGTCTCTCAATGTATCATTACTATATTAAAATAAGTTTAATTTCACAATTTGCGCATTGTGCAATGTTTTGCGCAGTGCGCAAATTTAGTGAAAATGTCAAGTAGCTATTGAAATATTTGTTAAAAATGGTCAATATTTTGAAGAATTCGCAAGATTTTGCGAAACGCACAAGTTGGGCAAATATTTGCTTAAATTCAATTTTAAAGTAACTTCCTTTGAGTTGTTATATTAACCAAATTGCGCAATGTCAAATTAGAAATCGGTTAATCTCAAATTTAACATTTCAAGACCATATGAATTAAATTTTATAATTTTGCGCAATTGCGCAAATTATGAATGTAATTTTATAATTTTGTGCAATGCGCAAATGTATATAATTTTATTTGTTTTAATTTAATTTTAACGGATACACTTTGCTTGTCTAATTTATAAGTTATAATTATCAAATAAATTGCGAGATGCGGAATGTTAATTTTATATTAGTTGGTCTCTCAATGTATTATTACTATATTAAAATAAGTTACATTTAACAATTTGCGCATTGCGCAATGTTTTGCGCAGTGCGCCAATTTAGTGAAAATGTCAAGTAACTATTGAAATATTTGTTAAAAATGGTCAATATTTTGAAGAATTCGCAAGATTTTGCGAAACGCACAAGTTGGGCAAATATTTGTTTAAATTTAATTTTAAAGGAACTTCCTTTGAGTTGTTATATTAACCAAATTGCGCAATGTCAAATTAGAAATCGGTTAATCTCAAATTTAACATTTCAAGACCATATGAATTAAATTTTATAATTTTGCGCAATTGCGCAAATTATGAATGTAATTTTATAATTTTGTGCAATGCGCAAATGTATATAATTTTATTTGTTTTAATTTAATTTTAACGGATACACTTTGCTTGTCTAATTTATAAGTTATAATTATCAAATAAATTGCGCGATGCGGAATGTTAATTTTATATTAGTTGGTCTCTCAATGTATCATTACTATATTAAAATAAGTTACATTTAACAATTTGCGCATTGCGCAATGTTTTGCGCAGTGCGCAAATTTAGTGAAAATGTCAAGTAGCTATTGAAATATTTGTTAAAAATGGTCAATATTTTGAAGAATTCGCAAGATTTTGCGAAACGCACAAGTTGGGCTGATTTAAGTGGTTAGTTGCGCAAATTACTACTTTTTTCATTATCCAAAGTAAATAGTACTTTTATTTCAAAATATATGAAATTTTATATAATCGATCCTTTGTAGTCCAAGAGTGGTGCTGTTTATTTCTATTTCTTATATTCTATTAGATGGGTGTAAACAAATTTCATTTCTTTGTTTCAGATTTTACAAAATGATATCATCTCACAAAAAATATGCAGTAACTGTTTTAAATTGACCGGGAAAATGTTCGAGTTCCGAGAAAGAGCAGTTAAGACTGACAAATATTTGAAGGTAATTGTTGTTTTTCTAGTAAAATAGTCCCATAGCAGATAATATACGAGAAATATAGATCTGTAAATGTCGTACTTTATGTTACCCTGCAACGTCTTAATAAAATATCTTTGTTTGCAGGATCAGTGCAAAAACGCTAATCAAAATCACGAAATTACGGACACTGAATACCCCAGTGTAATACCAATAAAGTCGAAAAATACCACTCAAATCGTTTCTCCTATTAATAATGAGAACGAGGTTCCTAACAAAGCTGCAACACATGAAATTAATCCATCATTGATCACTCCAGAAAAATCAAAACCCGCAGAAACTCTGTTAACAGATACAACTCCCGAATTTTCGAAAAAGAAAGCGAAAAAGAGGGTTCACTGGAGTATTGAAGAAATATTCGCAAAACACAGCGAAATAAAACTACCTTCATCTTGCTTAAGACTGGACGTTAGCCCGTCTGTCAACTTGGAAATGGACTTCGTGGAAGAATATTTTCGACAGAACAAGCAAGATATTAAGAAATACGTTCAACATGCATTAAGGTCTAATCGAGCATCTAAAAAAACATTGCAAGTAAAACAGAAAAAGCCGATTAAAGCTAACAACAGTAGTGTAGAGGATAATAAACGCATCGTTGAGGAAAACACACCTGGTGTGATAAAACATCCAGATCACTTTAAAGTTAGGTTATCTAATATCCCACAATCTCAAAAGTGTACAGGCAGTGAAGATAACGACGACGACTATGGAATAGTCAAATCTTTTAAACAAAGTAAAAGAAGAAGGATAAGTGACTCTTCTACCGAAGCGGAACCAATGAAACAACCCACGATAATGGAACTACCCACGTTAATGGAAAATGCAATGGAACAACCCACGTTAATGGAAACTTTACAGCTTAAACCAAAAGAAAACGCATTTGTACATAGATGCACCATATGTAATTCTTTGCAACGTAGTGCTAAAGCACTCAGAGAGCACTACAAAACGCACTTAAAGTGCACTTATTGCAAGAAAAGATTTAAACTTTTGAATCGAAAAGAGGTACACGATACGAACTGTGCAATTAAGTTTTGTTTAACTAGACCGGTATATGTGAAATTGGAAAAAATTGATGCTACGAAATATCTATCCGAAGATATTGAGCCTGTTCCAGTTCAATCATTTGAAAAGACTGATGCAATCGCCATTCAAGTAAATAATCCAAAAAATGCCAAAAAGTTTACTGACGAAATTATCGAATTATCTGATGATGATACTGATCCAAATCCACCGACACCTTCACCTCTAGTTGCGACGTGTACTTCAAAAAGTACCGATTTACCAGCTACATTAAATACCATACCATTAAATATCGAACTACCGAAATTGATACCTATAACTCCGCCATCTAATACTATTATTGAACAATCGCAGTGCACCGGTACATCCATAGTTAAACCTTTCGTTGACATAAAAGATAACAGCGTGTTAAATACAATCGATACATCACTCCCAGATAATAAAGTACTTAAACAGTTGTTGTCTTCGTCTAAACTTAATAATTTAAAATTGCTTATTGAAGATGAGACACAAACAAACATACCGTCCAACGACGAAGTTCGATATTCAAATCAAGTTGCCGAATTTAAAAATCTCTTTCCGCAATTGTATGCGTATAAAATTCCAATCAGTGTTAAAAAAGGAGAATTTAAAGTTTCTTACCAAAAAACCCAAAAATCCGCACCAAATAACAAAAAATCTCTAGCTCATTGGAGTCATACGAAGCCAGTAGATGTTAAAAGCACTAACAATGCAATTTTTAATATCGAAAACTTTAATAAGCATATATCATTAGATATTCCATTGTTCAACTTGTCGAATCAAAAATCTCAGCCCACGATTTTAAATCACACTGTAATATCTCAAAATTTGCCTCAAATTGTTCCAACTACTGCCGCTCCAAGATTAAAAACATATCAACCGGCTCAGAACAGTAACTTTCCAGTTATTCATCAGCCAGCACCAACTCAAATTAGGCAGATTCAAAGTGTGCCCCGAGTTCAAACTCAATCTAAAAATTTTCTGGTGTATAGTTTACCTCAACAAGCTCAAACTCAACTTAGTAATGTTCAGGCATCCAATATGCTACAAGTTCAAACCCAAACTAGCAATATTCAGGCTCATAGTTTACCCCAACAAGTTCAAACTCAAACTAGCAATATTCAGGTTCGTAGTTTACCTCAAAGAATTCAAACCCAAACTAGTAATATTCAGACTCATAATTTACCTCAACAGATTCAAACCACTAGCAATACACCTATCAGTTTGACAAGGCAAAGTCAAAGTAACCTTCAATCTCTAAGTGCGCCACAAGAGATGCCAGCCGTCAGTGTTCAGAATCATGTTTTGCAGCAAACTTTACAATATCAAATACAAAATGTGCCCCATCAGACATCAAGTAATACCATTCCAATAAGTAGTTCTATGTTTACGATAAATCCAAATTTGCAAAACATTCAACAGACGCCAGTGTACAATGCTGATGTTCAAAATTTAAATAATTATTTTCTTAATTCCAATAATAATACAGTTATTGCTCCAGTTACTAATAGTACTTCGTCTCTAAACAGTACTATAACTAATAATATTCAAGGTCCGATTAACACAAATGAAAACACTTTTTCTAGAGGCGATATCCAAAGCAACCCACAAAATTATGATCTCAATTCTAAGATTTTAAACATTCCTGCATCAGTAACACCTGTTTCTTTAACTAACACTGCGGCAAGTACTTCATCACATTTGTTAGTAAGAAATAATTCAACTTCAACCATAACTAATTTCATGGAAAATACTTCATATCAGAGTAGTACAAGCAAAACTGCACCTCCACCTAACGTTAATCCTTTTAGTAAGACTGCTGGTGGTACCATTTCTGGCATCAATACATTTGCTAGTACTAGTACGGAATCCCAAAGAAATAGTACAACAAGTAATGTTGAAAGTAATAAAGATGTGCATAAACCAATGATTAGAGTAAGAAATATTTTTGAGTTAACGTAAACAAATTTGTATTAAAGTTGAGTTTATATTTTTTTATAAATTAAGAAAGTTAAATTATGAAAATAAATGTTTTTGATATTTTTGTTTTTTATTTTGTTTTGAATTTTAAAAATAAAACTATTTTTTTTAAGTGTTTTATTTTATCAGTGTCACTGTAGATGCCAGTTGTAGGACGTTTCAACTTCGCTCAAATTCCATATACAAACAGAAGACGAAGTTTTTAAAGTAGGTCTTGGAAAAATTCACGTATGCCTGAGCCTATAATTCTTCTGTTTAAGTGTCTGTGTAATTGGCATTATTATTAGTAAAATATAAAGATTTACACAAAAATTCTAAAAAGTATTAAATATTTCAAGTAAATATTTAAATAGAAAAGCACAAGTATTGAAATAAACCAAACAATTAGGTTATTACTCCAGTCAATGACTTACATTAAACTAAAGAATTATCCATGGTAATACGTTAATAATAATTAAGCTGTCACGTAAAGTTTGGGTTTAAATAAGACTGTCGATAGTTGACAGGAGAGACTTGAGTAATGTCTGTTGCCCGAAACTCTTGGCGAAAATGCATGCTTTAGAAGGGACTGTTCCTTCGGGACCCTATGTCCTGAAATACCTATTATGTAAAGTTATGTGCAGCGATTTGTGTGCCAGAGGTAAATTATCTTTAATTATTTTGAGACATTAAAACGCAAAATCAGTACCACACGGATTTAATAATTTACCTGAAATTTATTTATTTGGTCTAAATTATTAAATCTGTGTGGTACTGATTTTGCGTTTTGTCTCATTGAAGATGACCACATTTGAGAGGTTGGATTTTCTTCGTTTACTATTATAGTTGTTAATAGGGCTGGTCCACAACCGTCTTTATCTTCCTAGCCATGAAGACAAACAAAAAGGCAACATTGTGAGTATGGTCCAGCCCTACTCACAACGGCCGCATTCAGCAGAAGCAATCGATTTATGATTTTCTGCTGAATGATATATAAAAGAGCGATTAGTAATCAAATGATGAGTTATCGGCCGCCATTTAAAACATCTAATTTGAAATACGATTAGTTATCACATCGTCATTAGATTTAGAACTCATATCAACTGAAGTGAATGTTTTGTGGTGGTGCTCATAACTCATAACCTTATTTTATGTTTATTTTGAATTCAGTTTTACACTGAATTTGTAATTTTTCACTGAAATGAAGGACTTTGAAGTGATATATGTTTATAACAATATGAAATGTATAGTAGTTGGTAATGAAGTGTTGCACAATGCATTAAAATCAGGCAAATACATTAATTTATAATTATGTAGTTGAGTAATTTATTTGGTATTTTATTCTAAATTTTGTACCTATGTTTTAGATGATGACTTTTTTCTGAAGTACATGTCACTTCTGTGTCGCCTGTCGAAGTGCCTAAAAAGTTCATTCAGGAGATTTACTAATCGATAAGTCATCGCTAAGTTATCGTTTGATAATCGGTTGCTTCTGCTGAATGCGCCCAATGATTATTTAAAATAATCTGTTATTTTCGATTAATAGAAAATAATCCATTAATATAAAATACTCGATTAATCGAAAATAATCGAAAGTTTTCAATTAATCGAAAATAATCGATTATACGAAAATAATCGATAATTCATAATCAGTTGTCGAAAATAATTGATTAATCGAAAGTAATCTATTAATCAAAAATAATCGATAAAATAAAAATAACCGATTAATCGATTAATCAAATTAATATATTAATGTTTTAATCGAAAATAATAGAAAATACTCGATTAATCGAAAATGTTCGATTAATCGAAAATAATCGATTATTTGAATATAATCGATTAATTGAAAATAATCGATAAAAAAAATAATCGACTAATCGATTATTTTACCCATCCCTATTATTTCTTTCTTGACCCAAATATACCAGATGAAAAAATGTAGTAGGTCATCTTAAAACTTTCATCCATGACACCCGCGTGCGAGTAAAATATTTTTATAGTAAATTAGTGTATTTAATACAGAATTAAACCGTTTTTAATTTGAAAAATTTGGTGTTAGTGTTGATGAAGTGTCTGATAATTGTTGGATACAATAAATAAAATTGCAGTCTAACTGAAGAAAACTAAGGGTTTTATCTTGAGTTTTATGCATTTAAAATGGCTGAAAACTGAATAGTGTGTTTAAAAGGTTTTAGTTTATAAGTAAATAGTAAGTAAGTTTAAATAATAGGTACCTCCATCAATACTTTTGATAAAAATACAATTAGTAGGTTGGTACCTAACTTGAAATTAAGGATTTGGGTAAGAGACTGTTTTATTTTATTGAAATTCAAATTAATATGAAAAGGCTCAAGGTCACGCAAAAAAAGTAACACTATCTCAATTAACGTTTTACAATTAAAGGTTTATAAAACTAATATAAAAAAAAAACATATTAAGTATGATCCACAAGGAAATTATTTAAAGTAAAAAATTAGGTCATTCAACAATTAAATAAATTATTATATGTCCGGCTCGAAGGACCAAAATGGTGCGTTTATAATGGACTGTGAAGTTAGACTAGCTAATAATTTTTTTTATAACAATTATAATCTTTTCACCCTACCTTTACTGATGGCTCTGGCTACTGTGTTTACGTGTCAAATTCCTACTTGGTAAACAATATACTATTATTCCAAAAATACAGAATAACACTGTTATTGTGTTAGATAACGCGTCCTATCATTTCAGATTAGTTCGCAAAATTCCAAACAAAAGTTCAACTAAACCTGTGATCCAACAATTTTTAATGGAATATGACTTATATTTTGAAGAGACTAAAAAGCAGCTACTAGAAGTTTTAGAAGTTGGACATTTTACCAATAAGTATGTAGTCAACATTATAAAAAGTCATGGACACGACATTCTGCGGTTGCCTCCTTATTATTCCATTTTTAAACCCATAGAATTATTATGGGCTCAATTAAAAAAAGATATTCGTGATAACAATATTACTCCAAAATCAAGTGAGAATGTTATTAATTTAATAAAATATTGTGACAATAGTCTAATTTATTTAGAGTTTATTTATTTAAAACACACTATTTACGATTTATTTATGACGTACTAATTAATTTATATAATACTTAGGCACTAACTCACAATTCTAATTTATTTATTACAATTTAAACTTTTCAGTCCAATACTTTTTACTAAACTAAACTTTCCGCCGATGAGCCGGGCTATTTATACCAAGTCCAACTCTCTAGACGCTCCCAAAAATTCCATCTCTGACTCAACGGCAGCATCACCCGTTCTGGTATATTCAAGACGCGGCCCGACTGTCTCCACACGTCAGCGGTGCTTCGATCATGAATCGAGTGCAAGTTGAAGGTCGCTTGCTTTAGACAGGGTCGGCTTAGGAATTTCCATAACAATATGCATATAATAAAATTACTAATGTACATTGGGAAAACATGATTAAACATGTTATTGCTATTGAGAATAAATATTTAATAAGGACTCCACAAAGATTCATCATTAACTTAGCTGAAAGTAGTGACAATGATTTTAGTGAAAATGACAATTAACAGCGGTAATCCTTAAATCAGAGTTTTTATATAAATTATTTTAATTCATTTTGTAACTAAAAAATTAGAAGTCTATTTCGGTAAAATTGTATAAAATTACTTGCTCCTGATGCTAATCCTGAAACACTATTTACAGTAACGCGGGATATTCCTTCTCTTATAATTTGTCTCGTAATAAATAAAGTTAAAAACACATTTTTGGTCATTTTCATTACACACATTTCTCATTCCGACCCTGTCTATATTATGATTTGGGAAATCCATTTCTTATAATTTGCAACTACCCAGGCAGCACACTTTGGTATAAATTACGTATTTTTTTAGGTACTACCATACGTATGAATACAGTTGATGTACTACCAAATATATTCGTGAAAATGTCGGCCTTATAAACGTCGATTACTAAGAATTTATCCACCTATAATTAAACGTTTTTACTATACGTCTATATTAGATTTATAGTTGTAGTATATTTATACGAATTCACTTTGGTATAAAATACGTTTTTTATGTACTACAATATACGTATGGATACTGTTGATATGCTACCCAATATATACGTGAAAATGTCCGCCCTAATAACGTATATTTTTTTTATTTTTTATACGTCTAACATTACTACTTTATCTACCTTTAATTATCCTGTTTTACTATACGTCTATATTAGATATATTTGTATGATTTTTATTAATGTGTAAAATGCGTCTACCTGATATTGTTTTAAATGTTTTTCAAACACAAATTAAATAAAGTGATCAAAACAAAATTTCTAAAAGAGGCCATGGAAAAATGTTAATATTTCTTTAATGATAGTTTGGATTTTATCCATAGCAGGTGTGTATACACCAGAAATAGGCATTACTCGTGTTTCTATTTTGGTTGTAATTGGCCTAAATGTTTAGAAAAAAATTTTAATTACTTGTTATATGTACAGAACAATATTTAATTAAAAAAAAAATAAATAACAAAATACTAAAAAATAAATAAATATAAAAAAATAAACACTAAAATACTGAATAACAAACTAAACGAAACTTTTCTTTAACTAACAAAAAATATTTATGAAAATAAAAATCTTAGCTTAACACTTTGGATGTGTTGTGTGCTAGACGAGCCTTAGATAACTTAAGGTAATCTTGCATGGTACACCTTATCGTTCGGTCGGTTAAGTCGCTTGGTTCACCCCCATTCCTATAACCAAAATGTAACTCAATTTCAGGTGAAATATTTTCTAAAAGCTCCGAAGTTAAATTTGTATTATTTTCTTGGAAATTATTATTTAGCCTTATTACTGTTATCTTCATTGGAAATAAAAAAAATTGATTTGACTTTAAAGCATCTTGAACATTTTGCGCTATTTTTATACGTAGATGACGCAGAGACAGGGTTATTTTAGACATTTTATTAAATAAAAAACAATTGACCAAAAAAAGGAAAATAAGTATGCCTGGAATAACTAGGTAACCTAAAAAATACGTATAAAAATAAAAGAAACAAAAGTAAGGTTATGTTTTGAAGTTTCTATAAGCATTTAACACACTGTACGTACCTATAAAACAGTAGTTGTTGTAAAATGCAACAATTATTAAAGGAGTAGCTAAATTAAAACATTAATAGAAACTTACCTATGCTTTTAATCAATATCGTAAAAGCCAGGACGCCAAAGCAACATGCAACAAAACGTGTACACAAATGAAAATAGACGAACCGATGAACCTGCTCCCACAAACCATTCCCTACACTGACAATAATACTACACATACGCATGAGTAGAAATGAGAAAAGACCGTACCACTAGTACGTCATCATCCATCCGCCATCTAAAAATAGTTCCATGTGTATGGGGAATTTATTATAAATATTACAGGTAATATAATTAAAAAAATATGGATGTAATGTAAATAAATATATCTATAAGCTTTTAATTTAAATAAACCTAAATATATACATATTATTTACTTCTGTCTACTAGTTCATCGTAAACTGGTATTATGCGTTTAAGGTGACTTATATTTAAACGTAGAATATTATAGGTATATTAACTAGTATCGACAAACAAAAGCGTTTAATATATCTGTTAAAAAAAGTATAAAAATGGTAGATGGTAAACGTTTAAAAAATCAACCAAGACGAAATTTAGACGGGAATTATAAACGAAGAAAACATATTGTAATATAATGTAAATTTATACGAATTTAATTTAAATAAACCTAAAAGTATATTTAGGCCCACTGTATATAAATAGTTCATCGCAAACTAAAAATAGTCGTATATTGTTAACTATATTTAAACGTAGAAAAATTTACAAATATATACCATAGGATGTATATAAAAAACGTATAATATATCGTTTAAAACACGGTATGTATAATAATCGCAAACTGTAAACGTATACGGAATCAACCAAAACCAAAATTAAACGAGTATTACGCATAAAATACGTTAGTTATACTAATGTGTGCTGCCTGGGAACTATAATAGGGTCCCGTTGATTACCCTTCAGGTACGGAACTCTAAAAAGGGCAAAGCAGCAATCTTAAAAATTGGAGTTAGAAGCTGAACTAAAAATAAAATCTGAGTAAAAAGAAGCAAACAAAAAAAAACAAGACAAAATTATTGAGAATCAAGAAAAGTAGAGTTTAAAAAAAGTATTTCTAAAACAGATAAAGGGAAGCAGAAAATTTAAATTTTAGATCATGAAAATGAAGACAAGGGAGACAACGATGAATAATCTTTTTACTGTATTGAGTTGTACTGTTGTACTCAACATCAGTGATCGAATAAGGTTGGGTATGCTGCTGCAGATGTTTAAGATGGGCCCATGAATCATGCGCAGGAATAGAGCCTGGGGAAATAAGGATTTTGTGCAGAATTTAATATTTTACAAAGAGTTTCTTTAGTTAGTAGTGCCATTATTTGTATTCCATACTTAAATAAAGTTTTAATTTTAAACTAAATTTTTGTGGTTCATATGTTCAGATTTTATTGTTTTTCTGACAAATAAGTTTTAAGAATTAAGTCTGGTAAATTCATAATGATAGTACAAGGTTTACTGAACAATGTAAGCTTATTACAATTTCAAATATCATCTTAATAATGGGGCTATAATTTTTTTTATTTTAGATAGTTCATATTGCCCTAACCTCCTCTAATGATGAAAAAAGTACCAACAATTACCAAAATATTGTATCAAGTTCTTTAACAGATAATGATAAAATTGTTAACCTATTAGTTGATGAAATTTAGGTAAGTAATAGGCTAGACCTCGGGCTAGACTATAGGGGGAAAACATAATTAGTGTAGCGTCCAATGACACTTTTGTAGACATAACTATATTAGCATTCATGATATGTTTCGCATTTGGAAATTTTTATGAAATTGTTAAATTGCTACTGGTTCACAACATAATAAGGGCTTCAAATGTCACCAATAGCCACCGATATAATAAATTTGCCCAATGATATGGGTTTAAAGTTTTAGACGTTATAACTGACAACCTATCAGAATTAATCGTTCCATGTTACATGCTTTAACTAACGGTTCTACTTCTTTTGAAAATCCAAGTTACCTAGACGAACATTTTTGTTTACAAGTTTTGATTTTGTTCATATATTCAAAAATATAATAAATAACTGGCGAAATTTAAAAAAAAATGTTTATCCTGATTTTGAAGATTATACACAATTTAGACATACAAAATATCAAGATATAAAAGAAATTTATTTTAATGAGAGACAAGCTATAATAAAAAAAAATTATAAACAATCACAAGACAGTATTTCCCTTAGACTAGGTAATAAAGAGAGGACTCATAACGCAGCTAAAAATCTTGTTCCATTCTGACACCAACGATATTCGACCAAAGGCGTAACATTTTAGTACTTCACTGATTTTTTTTAGGTATGAAGCAAGTTCAAAGCGTAACATTTAAAATAAATAAGTAACAATAAATAAGACACAAGAAAAAAATATATTGAAATAAACAGAATGAAATCGTTTACATAATAGAATGAGTGTTTATTTTTATTCCGCGAAATAAAACAATGATCTACATGTATTACAAAAAGATTTATTTTTAGTTAATAAAGAATGACAGTACCCAGATAGCACAAACACGTTTTAAAGACATCTTTAATACGTTTGTTCACGACGTTCGTGATGTTTTGAAGATCTACGCTAATATCCAAAAGATGTTTTAAATGCGTCTATAGGACGTACTTTGTTACAAAACAAGGCATCTTTAGGACATCTAATATTGTACGTCTTTAAGACATCCAGTTTTGTACGTCTTGAAAAGTTAATATTTAAAACTGTACGAGACGCCACTGGAAAAAATTACATGTTTGGCCATTTTAATATTATTAATTGCTTAAATATCAATGAAAAACATAAAATAAACAAACTTGGTAAGTAAAATGTATTACTCTGGAGTGAGACATGTACAATATGTAAATACCAAGTTGTATAACACCAAATAAAATGAGAAATATAAGAAAATATTAAAGTGAAAACGATTGATATTTATCATTTTCCTGTGAAACGTAATATTTGCTTCTTTTTTGCCGCTATAACTTTTACACTGATATGCCACACAATAAACCATTGTAATAAACCAATTATTAAATATCGTTTAATTCAATGCTTGGCATCAAAATAATGGTGGCCAATAGATAATCGGCACAGAATACTACGTGTGCTCGATATACTTGTTACGCGTCCTCTCTTTATTACCTAGTCTAAGGTATTTCCCAGTAATGTCTTCATACCCAGTAATCTGGAGCGTCAAAAAGTTTTTATTGCTTACAATTATGAAGACTAGAGAGAAGAAGGAGTGTCGAATGACAGCAGTGTCAATTTTCTATGTAAGTCAATGTAAAATGAAGTGATTTTTTAAAAATCGGTGAAAAGAATCAAAATAATGTGATAAAAAGTACCTGAGTACAAGTAATATGAGTGATTAAAAACATCAAAGCAAGATTCACGTCGTTCCAGATTGTAAAACAAGATAAAAATCAAATGTAAAACTAAAGAAAACACAAGAAGAAATCAATTCAAGGTATTTTTAAAGCTTCTAATGTAAGTAAAATAATGTATTCATGTCTAAATATAATATTTATTGTAAACTAGTTACAATATGTATCTTACGAAGTATAGTTTATTTTATTACAAGTTTCTATAATATAAAATTTTACAGTCATAGATGCTGACTTACAAACAACAATAATTATGCATTAAATTTAATTTACTAGAAAAGAAAATTTATTTTTAATAGAGTTTTAATGTTAGATAAAGGGCCTGTCCAGAAGAGCCACTCTGTGGCGCCACTTAGTCGCGCTGCTAAGTGGCGTGTACGGGCCAATCGGTGTCGCCACAGAGTGGCGACCACTGGTCGTTCGTATGGACGTGTCAGCTACCGAGTAGCGCGATTCCATAGTAGGCTTATGTTGGAAGGTAATTAAAATGTTCGAGCGTCATTATGAACTCAGACGAGGAAGTACTCCTTCTAGCGCTTCTTGTAAAACGACGTTTGCGTAAAAAACGTAGAAGATTTTGGACCAACCCCATTACTTCTGAAAGTTTATTATTTGGGCAGTTTCATACTATTATAGATGAATTGAAAAGCGACAATACTAAATTTTAGCCGAAGAAATACTTAAGGTACCATTTCGATAGGCGCGTCAGAAGACAGGAGACCACCGAGGCGACCCAAAGGACGACAGATGCATAAATGTTACGCTCCGTACATTTCGGAAGCTTGGAGACGGGTCGCTAGACACTTACAGGATAACCATTCGAGGTAACGATTAGCGTTGCCAGACAAAATTTCAACAGCTATTCACAATTTATTAAACTATTTACTCGAAATTGTTATTAACATCTATAATTTTGTACGCCAATGTATCGCGTCCACTTCGGTGATATCCGCAGCAAACCTGTCAATTTATGTGTATAAAGTGGGAGAACTGGCAAAAGCCTTTCCAACTTTTACTTCTGTTCTAACCTACTACCTAGTTCTCTGATAGGTAGTTCTTACGTATTTTTGAAGAACCCGAACAAACCTTATATCATCCTCTTTTATTCCTCCATTAGGTACCTACCTACAATTTACATTTTGCATGCAGAACATATTTCTTACAGGATTACAGATCTAATGAGAAAGTGTATTGTTACTCGACATCGCATAAGCCTGTTCAAATTAGATCTGTCATTGAGGTCTGTGAAGCTGGCCCCCCGAAATTTGAAAATTTTAGTTTTAAAAGCGGCATACGTTTGACCATCTATTGACCATGTTTGACCACCCACTAACTTTTTTTGACCACCCTCAGAAACCAAAATATTTAAAAAAATATTAATGACCGAGTGCCCGCTGGCCCCCCGAAATTATTATTTTTTAAAACTGACTGCACCATAGGGTTAACCAACTTTTGACCATGTTTGACCACCCCTTAGATTTTTTTTAACAACCCCTAAAATAATTTAAAGGGGGTAAATTATAGAAAAATAAGAATTCTGGGATGCATTTCAACTTTAAACGATAGATCAATGGTCAGAAAGACAATATGATCCAAAAACGTTTAAAATGATGTAACGCTTTTTGATCACTCCCCAAAATATCTTAAAAGACCCCAGAGGGGTTAAAAATTCAAAGAGAATATTTCCCAATCCAATTTCTAGTTCAAAAAATAGTCAAACGACATAAAGACATAATAAATATCCATAAAGGTTTAAAATTAGGTTTTGCCGTTTGACCACCCCCTAAAATAATTTTAATGTTTCCAAGTAGGGTGAAAATTCGAAAAATAAAATTTGGAAATCAAATTTCTGCTTGCAAAAAATGGCCAAAGGACATAAGTTTAAAATTAAGACGAAAAACAATTTGTAATTGTGTTTTGAATTTTGACCATCCCCTAAAATAATTTTAATGTTTTTAAGTATTGTAAAAATTTGAAAAATAAAACATAAGTTTAAAATAAGCATCTATAACGATTTAGAATTGTGTTTTGACGTTTGACCACCCACTAAAATAATTCTAATGTTTCTAAGTATGGAAAAAATTCTAAAAATAAAATTTGGAAATCGAATTTCGGCTTGGAAAAAATGGTCAAACGGCATAAGTTTAAAATTAAAATCAATAACGATTTAGAATTGTGTTTTGACGTTTGACCATCCCCTAAAATAATTATAATGTTTCTAAGTATTGTGAAAATTCTAAAAATAAAATTTGGAATTTGAATTTCGGCTTGGAAAAAGTGGTCAAACGACATAAGTATAAAATTAAGATCTATAACGATTTAGAATTGTGTTTTGACGTTTGACCACCCCCTATATTAATTTTAATGTTTCTAAATATTTTGAAAATTCGAAAAATAAAATTTGGAAATCGAATTTCGGCTTGGAAAAAATGGTCAAACGACATAAGTTTAAAATTAAGACCTATCACGATTTAGAATTGTGTTTTGACGTTTGACCACCACTTATAATAATTTTAATGTTTCTAAGTATTTTGAAAATTCGAAAAATAAAATTTGTAAATCAAATTTCGGCTTGGAAAAAATGGTCAAACGACATAAGTTTAAAATTAAGATCTATAACGATTTAGAAATGTGTTTTGACGTTTGACCACCCCCTATAATAATTTTAATGTTTCTAGGTATTTTGAAAATTCGAAAAATAAAATTTGTAAATCGAATTTCGGCTTGGAAAAATGGTCAAACGACATAAGTTTAAAATTAAGATCTATAACGATTTAGAATTGTGTTTTGACGTTTGACCACCACCTATAATATTTTTAATGTTTCTAAGTATTTTGAAAATTCGAAAAATAAAATTTGGAAATCGAATTTCGGCTTGGAAAAAATGGTCAAACGACATAAGTTTAAAATTAAGATCTATAACGATTTTGAATTGTGTTTTGACGTTTGACCACCCCCTATATTAATTTTAATGTTTCTAAATATTTTGAAAATTCGAAAAATAAAATTTGGAAATCGAATTTCGGCTTGGAAAAAATAGTTAAACGACATAAGTTTAAAATTAGGATCTATAAAGATTTTAAATTGTGTTTTGACGTTTGACCACCCCCTATATTAATTTTAATGTTTCTAAATATTTTGAAAATTCGAAAAATAAAATTTGGAAATCGAATTTCGGCTTGGAAAAAATGGTCAAACGACATAAGTTTAAAATTAAGATCTTTAACGATTTTGAATTGTGTTTTGACGTTTGATCACCATCTATATTAATTT